AATGATTTCCAAACTATTAAATAAAATTTTTTTTTTTTAAAATAAAGAATAAAGATTTGTAGTTTGCAATCTAGCCACAGTTCCCCAAATTGGGGGTACTTGTGAAACCCACTGCTCGCAGATTTCGTTCAGTCCACAGAAGTGTCGTACCCTGCATATGGCAAGGAGCAAAAGTCCCCATGATATTACATACATTGTATAGGCTGATGAATGTCGACTTCTTGGTCGTAAGCAATCCTCCGTACCTTGGAGTTGAAATTTCAATAGATTTGCATGATCTCTCCACATTAATCTAATAGTGAATAAAGCAAATAAAACACTTGATTTTGTGAGATGCCATCTGTCTAGATGAGACCCAACAGTTTAAGAAACATAGTGCAAAACCTTGATGAAACCACAGTTAGAATATGCAGCCTCGGTTTAGGACCCTCAATCAGTTAAACTACATCAATAAAATAAAAAAAAGGATGGAGGCAGGCAGCAAGATTTGGGACAGGTGACTACCAAAAAAACATCAAGTGTTATAGACATGCAACAAAACCTTCAATGGCCAACCCTCCAAAACTGCAGAAAATTAAGTAGACTCACCACGTTTTATCGCACTATCCATAAAGAAGTTGCTGTTGAAATCCCTCATATCACCCAAGTAGAAAGTCAAGATCTCAAAGAAATAGACATAACCAATGATATGCTCCCTTGTAATATCACACTCAAACATATCAAAAAGCTTTTGCCCATTGACAGTCACAGACTGGAATGACCTCCTGAACGATCTAATCCAACCATCATCATAATCCCAATTTAAGACAGTCCTTAGGAAAGTAATTCATCATAACTAACTTCACGCTTGCACAGCACTGACGTGTAGTCACACTGGATGATGATGCCTATTGGCAATGTCCAGTCAACAATCTGAGATTCTGAGAAGAGTTTGAGTGATGTGTTTTACAGATGATAGGTGTTTAGTCAACTCTACCCCTAGGTAGGGGTGATGATCAACCAGAGTTGTATGCGAATCCATCATAAGTCCTTTCACAAGCCCTGTCATAAGTCTCTTCACAAAGCCAGCCATAAGTAACAGGGTGAACAATGACAAAAGAATGCTTTTGCCACAGCTCGTTTGAATAGCTTGTGAATTGGCTTAAGACTGAATGACTTGTGATGGACTCGAATACAACACTCTGATCAACTTCTTGGAGAGCTGGGTTATCCGTGTAATGTTGGTGAGGAACAAAATTAATTTTGTGGGTTACCTGCATGATGAAACACTTCAAGAAAATAAACCAGGTTGCCTGCCAAGTGCAAAGTGAGTTGATGTCTTTTTGTAAAGTATGGCAATCCTTGGTAGTTGATTGGTCTGTGTAACAGTAGGCAGTCTGGGAACAGCTTGACATCTAGGATGCATTCGAGCGAGCTACTTGCATTAACACAAGTACTCCCCTGATGTGCATGAATGGCAGGAGTACACCGCATGGATCAATGAGAGTATACTCCCTGTCATGTAGGAGTATACTCCTGACCCGAGAGTAATGCGTGCGTATCCTCGCACGTGTTGACAGGAGTAACCACGCGAATGCACCCAGTATGTCACCCACTCTGGAAGAGCATCGACATACATACATGTAATGTGATCTGTGAAAACCTTTCACATTGTGAGCTTTGTCATTCAGGTGCATATCAACTTCAAATTGATCTGGATGCTGTCCTATTTTCAAAACTGTTTAATTCATGATTCTAGACAACCTAGATTCAAGTTGAAGACAACCTTGAATCAGAAATGTAATACATGGGAAAGTACAGTGTGTCCATGTTAATTTGAAGTTTATATGCACCCAAATGACAAAGCTCACCATGTGAAGGGTTTTCGCAGATCACATCACATATGCCAGAAACAACAGGGCACACAGGACACTTCCCTGGGGGACACTGGAGGTCCTGGAGCATGCACTACAAGATGACTGTCCCATCCGTGACAACTTTTTATGGCACTTAGTCAGGAGAGTTTCGAGAACGTTGATAGCACACGGAAACCCCAATGCTTGTTATGCACGTCCTTTGTTGTGAGATTGCCACGCAGTGTCGATTAACAGGCTTTGCCTATTGCCCGGTAGGGCCTACAAAGAACTTGTACCAAATGCTAACCAAACACTGCACAGGTACCTTCGGCCTACGGAATACTAATCTAAGACAGCACTAGGGTCTACAGAGGACTTAAACCGGCCCTGTACGCACGCATTTCGTTTTTCCTCACTAGCAGTTAACGCTATACTTCACTGATATAATGACGATGATACCTTCAAGATGGCCAAGAGATTCGGACTACTTTGAGAGATCTTTAGGTCCGGCACCTGCCACGATCACGGAACTCCTCTAGTTTCCGAATTCTCCGAAATTATCGAGATTTCCCGAACCCGCTTCGTTGATTTATAGGTAGCACCATCAATATTTACGAACATTTGGTCTATAAATTGCTTTCCTTTTCAGATGAAAAGCACCAAAATGCAAAATAGTTGCGTTCTGCTCCATTTTTTGCGGTCGACGGCTATCTGCTATCAATACTACTGATATGGCAGAAAACCA